AGAGAGAGAGAGAGAGAGAGAGAGAGAGAGAGAGAGAGAGAGAGAGAGAGAGAGATAGCAGCGGGCATCTGCAAGTGAAAGACTCCCTCCGTCTTTGTTTCTCCCTTACTTCTTTCATAGCGCTATGCGATGCGTTCTGAAATATCTAGTACCGAACATCATCGCTAGAGCGGTCAGTCGCGAGTGCTTAGACATTGTGTGTTTTGCTTAGCTCAAGGGTATCACAATAGATGTGGGCTAAGCTGTAAATGGGCCAGCTACGACCCAATTCATCCCGATAATCATTTTACTTCGCCAGTAACTTGGCACGGTCACGCCCAGCTGTTATTGTCATGCACACAGCCGTGACACACGCTGACAGACGTCACGCACGTACGCACACATGCGCACTCACACACGCCGTGCATACGTTTACACGCGCACGATCTATCGTATATAGGCTAGACGGGTGGCTGGTGTTTTGCATTCATGATGTCACTTATAACCGATCATCCTTTACATGCACCAAACGTTTTTTGCACAGACGGGGAGAGGTAGTGAGTTATTTCAAGCAGGGTAATATCCTAACTCTCGATTATAAGGATAAAAGTTTTATAGTTTGTTTGATGTTTACTTGAATAAAAATGGCGATTACTTAATTCTGAATTTAATCGCCCATCGTTTGATGATCCTAATCGCTTCAATTCTACTTTAGGTATTGTCGCCATTCGTGCGTTAAACCTGTTGATCTAATTGCAAAATTAAAAGTATGAAGACAAAATATTCTGAAGCACTTCTATGAAGCAGTATTCCTTGGCTGTTGCGATCGCGTCAGGTTACACACTTAAAATAATTTGAGGTTCAATGACATAATTACATCGAATAAATGTGAATTGCTTTTGGTATCACTAGCGCAGTCACTTGGCAATATTTGGCCAACAGTAAACGATCGGTACTAAAATTGCGGTGAAAGTGTGCGGTAAGTTTTTGTGATTTTTTTGTGTTGGAATGTGCGCTTTTTTACCATGTGTAGCATAAAGAAAAAAATGATCTCGACATCTTGGATAAAAAATACATTATGATAAGGACTATAATAGATAATCGTGTTGCAGATGATGATGCAGATGATGACTGTTGTTGTTGTTATTATTATTATTATTGTTGGTGTTGTTGATGATGATTATGATGATGATGATGATGATGATGATGATGATGATGATGATGATGATGATGATGATGATGATGATAATTATTATTATTACTATTATTATTATGTTCATGGTAATATAACGATGATGTGTACGATGACGAAGACAATGGCGTGCCTGTCGTCGCGACAGTGAAACCGACGAACCTTCACGAAAAACTTAACACGCTGTTGTTTAAGGACGAAAAACATCGATAACTGAAAAGTCAAAAACCTTACAGATACAGTAAACACCCGCATAAAAGAACCCGTGAACATGTTTCAGGCTGAAGTGGTTCTTATATATATGGTACATAGTGAGAAATCAGCCTGAAGAGGTTCTTAAAAAGGTTCTTAATGTGGGGGGGGGGATATTGTGTACATTATCGTACTATACAATATTGTATAGTTTCAGAAAATATTCACACCATCCTTTCCCTCAATCCTCTGTATCGGCAAAATCAAGCCCCAACATTTACTGGAAAGTGAGGCAAAATACCCCCTGGAAAATCCAATCCTCCCGTGAGGAGGTATTAATATTATCTGGAACTACATGTTGGTTTCCAATGGTGAGCACACATACTTGAATTGCCCCAGTTTGCTCTAATTTTCGGCATTTTTTTATATAAGAACCTGTTTAATTTATCAGGTTGAAGAGGTTCTTACGAATATATTATATGATATATATGAATATACGCGAGGAAACTTAATTTTCTACCAATAAGAAATTCCGTGCACAAGCACGCGCTGACGACGGTAAAATCGTAGCCGCCTGATACTGGTTGCTGTAGGTTTCTTTATTCAGGGTATCACCTTGTTTGTCACGCGCGTATTCGCTCGACCAAGACCGAACTCAAAAACTTGCACAGTTAATGATTGCTGCGTGAGATGCCCGTGCTTTCAGGCTGAAGTGGTTCTTATATATATGGTACATAGTGAGAAATCAGCCTGAAGAGGTTCTTAAAGAGGTTCTTAATTGGGGGGGGGAATATTGTGTACATTATCGTACTATACAATATTGTATAGTTTCAGAATATATTCACACCATCCTCTCTCTCAATTCTCTGTATCGTCAAAATCAAACCCCAACATTTACTGGAAAGTGAGGTAAAATACCCCCTGGAAAATTTAATCCTCCTGTGAGGAGGTATTAATATTATTTGGAACTACATGTTGTTGGTTTCCAAATAGTGTAGCACACATACTTGAATTGCCCCAGTTTGCTCTAATTTTCGGCATTTTTTTATATAAGAACCTGTTTAATTTATCAGGTTGAAGAGGTTCTTACGAATATATTATATGATATATATGTATATACGTGAGGAAACTTAATTTTCTACTAATAAGAAATTCCGTGCACAAGCACGCGCTGACGACGGTAAAATCGTAGCCGCCTGATACTGGTTGCTGTAGGTTTCTTTATTCAGGGTATCACCTTGTTTGTCACGCGCGTATTCGCTCGACCAAGACCGAACTCAAATACTTACACAGTTAATGATTGTTGCGTGAGACGCCCGTGCTCGTGCACGGAATTTCTTATTGGTAGAAAGTAAATATTTTCTCCCACCTTCATTGCTCTTGTCCTCCGATCTTCTCGACTCGTTACGACTTGGCAATGTTTAAACAAAAAACGAAAACTCACTCTACACATCATCTGAAGGCCAGTGGAGTGAAAAAGTACAAATCTAAATATATATATAAAGCGATCAGTGTGGATCGACGAGAGAAAGTAGGTGGGATATCGGCGGAAAAAGCGTAGGTGAGCGGACAAAGCACCCGTTGTTTTCCACCCGTAAATAATCACAACAACTGGAGCAGTCCCCCGCTAGTGTTACACCGCGCTGAGGATTTGCGTCCATAGGTTTTTGGTTAAAAGCACAATTTCATGGCCAGGCTGTGTGCGCTTCGCCGCTGCGTAGTTCGCGTCCCCCCAGCGCTGCCCTAGAGCCATAGACGAGCGTGCAGCGACACTAATAGGTGAGAGAAAAGTGGCCCCATGCAGCAACAATGCCGTGTCCTTCTGTTCTCGTTTCTTTTGCATTCGGCGGCAAATTCGCGATATGAAAATAAAAGTATGAAATCTCCGACATTGCAGATTAAGGGGGCCCTTTCGCAAAAGCAGGTCACCGATTGTTGGCGCCTCTCATATAAGCGTGGCGGCGGAGAGCCCCGCAGTCAGTGCAAGCAATCGGGAACATAACATCTCTGTTTAGGACCGATCGTTAGCAGACCTCATAGGTAAGTCACTCCGCGCTGACATTGCTGTTCATCAGTAAGCGCCTTGCTAGTTATTTTTTCTCGCTACTAACTCGATCGTAATGGGACCGGCACAGGCAGACTTGTAAATATGCAATTCGAATAACCAGGACTAAATAATCAAAATCCAAATAGACTTGCCAGTTTGAATTTACCGCGTTTAGTGATAATATGGCATACAAAATGCATCGTGCAGCACCTCTTCCTGCAGCAGTTACTTTAGACAGAATTGAATCGTAACGCATAGGTTGTGCGTTGAAGTTGGAATCACGCACGTGCGAGCTTTGGGTCAACCAGTGGGTTGCACCGCGAAGTTACACTACACACAGCCCGTCTCTCTGCTATGAATAGGATTGTAAGATTTCTACTTTAGATAATCAAGAACAGCGTAGAAAGGATAATGTTAAATATTTGGAACCTTTCGCTCTAATTTAGTAGTTATAGCAATATTAAAACCTATCTATGAATAACGACTACAAAGCTGTGCTGTGATCGATTACGATGAATTGCACACGTGCCGCTGACTTCCGGACTAGTAGCTTTGAGGGTTGTCCGCTCACAGTCAAGAATTTCCCCGGGTTGCTGCTGTCGCCAACTTATGCCGAAAAATGCTATAAACAATTTATATAACTGTGAAAATCACTTTCTATTTTTCATAATTATTAGCGCTAGACCGCGAACGATGCCGCCACCTGGCGGACACCCGACGAAAACGCACACATGTGATTTACATTTCAGAAAAATGAAGATCGCAGCAGCAGTTGTGTTGGCGGTGGTGGTTGGTGTGGCAACGGCTGAAGGTTATGGCCGCAGCCAGCAGTTCCAGGCATCCGTACCAGTCCAAAGCAGCGGCGGCTACGGAAGCCAGAGCGTGAAAGTTACAGAAGCACCAGGCTACTTCACGACGTCCAGGTAAACACATAAGTAGCAGTACCGCCGTGTGTCCACTGCCTTCCACTGAGTTTATACAATATATTTTATATTATTTTTATGTAATTATTTATTTTTTGTTTTAATCGAATTTCCAAGTACTCATTCCAAAAAATATCGCTTACGTATCACGTGGTTCAACTAGGGCAATGAACTCTCTAAATGAACTTTTTAACCAAGTAATATTAGAAAATTTGCGGCATTTATTAGTAAAGGTATAATTATACGCCATAACAATGACCTGTTATTAATAATAATAATAATAATCATTTAAGTTGTGATAAATAATGAGATGTCTGATGCAATTCCAAGGTACGGTCCGTTCGTCAGCGGAGGTCTTCGCGGTCATGGAGACAGAAGCAGCTCCCTGGCCTTCCAGAGAAAAGGCCATGCCACCGGATCGCTGTTCTCGCGAGATAATGCGGACGCAACTGAAACCGCCAAGAAATCTCGCGGTTATGAATACAGATACAGGTACGCGGCGCATGCGCATTGCTTGCGTGTGAATCATCATTACCAATATATGCATATACTTAATATATATATGTATATATATATATATTTATATATACATAACTAAGTAACTAATTACACGCGATTACGAGAACAACGCGCGCGCGCACACAAAATCATACCCACGACGCACTCACACGCAAGCACGCGCGCACGCACGCACGCACACACACACGCGCTCCCACAAACCACACTTACGCACGAACGCTATACACGCATATATACATATATATATATATAAATATATATATATATATATATATATATATGTACCAGGTATTGCTACTGACGCTATCATGCCGCGCATTAGCGTATTATATGTAGTTTGAATCACCCAAGTAAGAATGCATTGTCGTGCCTACAGAGAGGGACACGAGTACACTCAGCCAAAGACCCTGTATCACTACGACATCGAGGAGCCCATCTGGGGATTCGCTGACGTCGACAACGTCTACAAAGGAAATGGAGGACAACAAGCACAGACAGGCTATGGACAGCAGCAGCCACAGCCACAGCCACAGCAGGGATACGGTCAGCAGCAGCAGCAGCAGCAGCAGCATCAGGGATACGGTCGCCAATAGGTGACTTTCCCAATGCTAACGACGACACTAGAATATGCATGAAAAGGAAACTGAACCTGAGATGTAACGACGAATTCTTCAAATGAAGAACGTCGAAAACTAATGAGAACGCCTCCTGGCATGAGCGAGATGTTGCGAACGTAGTTGTAATTATAGCATAGTATTTTTCTCTCATTGAAATGGCCTTGTACGTTGTCACAATTGCTTATACACCATCCCCATTACGCATATACACTACACTATGCATGTGCTAAGTCTGTGATGTTTGGTTTTGTAAGATAAACTTGTGTATTATAACTAATAAAGCATGACTGTAAATGCATATGTAGGACCGTGTATATCTTGTATATCCGTGTATGTAGGACCGTTGCCTGGTATATATTTGCCGTTATTTCACACAGAATGTAGAACAGTCACTGCAGCTGACTGAACTCTACATGAAAGCAGAGTAAACCAAATTAAATGAACAACATGAAAATATAACCCGTGGGGGTCACCAAGAGAATGTCAGTGGAATGGAACAAAAGTAGCTTGCGATATCGAACCCATTGCTTCTTACTATTCCCACTTATTGTAGATACTACGTTCACAAGTCAGACAATCAGCTTAGTTTTATTCGTGTGCATTTTCTCCACGAGCTAGCTATATGAACCTAGGAATCATAAGCCCAACGTATAACTTGTTATTAACAGTAACAACGAGTATGTAGCGCATGTATAGAAACAATAACGAGAAAAGATACGAAGTAATAACAACGTATTGGCTTAAAAGTCTATCATACACGTGTTACCCTCAAAATTGCAGTTATCAGCGAACATTTAAAATTAATATTTACCATGCAAAACTGTAGTGAAAGCCTCTCAAGTAATATGTAGAGGTTAGAAGCGATTGGCAGCGGTAGTCTTACAATAAGTTTGTTATTACAACGCTACTAGTGATACCATGCGTTATGCTAGCGCCAATTCTAAACTTAGGAGTAACATCTAATCTCACACTGGCCGAAATCCCAAGCTCTATCTTAACCACAGACACCATCACAAATGTAAGCATTACCCTAACGTAATCCTAAACCCTAAGCCTAACCCTAAATCTTACAGCTACTCTTAACCTTATATAACGTTGCCACTAGCGATAAAATTTATTCACATATTGATAGAATATTTACAAGTTGAAAACTATGCAAAACACTGTTAAAACCGTGTCATACTCTTCTCTATTATGCACTCTTGATTATATAAATATTTGCATTTATTCTACCTCTGAATGTTTCAAACTAGACAATTGAATTTTTTACCATTTTAGTTGGAATATATATGTTTTTTTTAGTAGCCAATTCATCATTAGTACAGCAGAGTCTGAAATCGAATAACAGAGCACTGGCCAAAGCTTTGGAGCAAGGGCGCAGAGACTTGCATCAGCTGAGGAACAGTTATACAGAACTTCAGCATGAAAATCAAGTGAGTATTATCACAGTTCTTCAGATACTCTGAACTGTAATACAAATCATACACTTGTACATGTTTGTAAGCATTGTAAATGTAGCTAATGAATTATATCTATTTCATTCAAATTTCTCTCTCAATCGATCTTACAGGAGCTTGTAATCAAGGTCACTACATTGGAGAGAATTGTTGGCATGGACTACGACGTGCTTGATGAGATTATTAATGAGCGTATATCCGTAAGTAAATCCCAGTAATTAAAGACAATTTTTGTCTCCTCATCTCATCATTGGAATCAGGAAAGGGTTTATGCCATTGCTTCAGCATGTTAATGTTCATACCAGAAAATAATTAAAAGTTGAGGAGTTACAATCAGCTATCTTAATACTATCAACAGGAGACATGTAGGCAGAAAAGTCAAGAATAACTCATCTCTCTCAGTTTGACTGAAAATAGACAGTTCCTACTTTACTATAGATTTGAGATTAGATAGGTCGGCGCAGCTATCAATGGGTGAAGCTGAATCTATCATGATATGTGCTGCGTGTGAATGTGTTGACCACGCTTCCTAGCTGACTGCCATACTGCATCCTTGCAGGTAATACAGCGCAATGCCAAGCTCGTGATTAGGAAGATTGGCTCCAGTCTCCTGACGGCCGCCGACGAGCTACAGGAGTTGGAACGTGTGTGTGTAAAGAACAGTCGAGACTCCACGTCCAGTACTACCAGCCGACAGCGCCCCTCCACGGCATCTAGTGAAGACAGTCGCTCACTGGGTGGTCGCCTGCCGAGCGATGGACCTCAGATGTAAGGCCACAATTAATAAAATATTTGTTTGCCCTCACCCGACCCAGGCTGAAAAGTTTGGGTAGGTAGGTAGGCTTTTTTTTGAGAGAGGGGGTCTTTTTACAAATTCAGCATGGTGTCTACATGCTCGGGTGTGCTTGTGTGGAGATACCTTTTATGTTGAATGTTTGTTTTGCTTGGTACATATAATGTATTGCCTACAGATTTATATAAAGATAATGTACAGTGATGCAATTTGTAAAAAAAAAAGAATGGGAAAGATCAATAAAATTTTTTGAGTCAGCCCCTTTTTGGCGGGTCGGTCGGTTAAGGGCAAACAAACAATATTTTTATTATGGCCTAAGCCGATCACGGCGGGTACTGACGGGGTTCAGTTCGAATTTCGCAATCAATGATCGCTTGCACCCGACCGATCATTGATTGATCGTAATAGGTTTATCACGTTGATTTGCCCTGTTATTAAGCATGGTGGTGATGGTTGCAGTTTTTTTTAACGATAGGTTGTTTGTTTTTATAATTGATTTTAACTAATGGGTTCATGCAATCAATCGAATAATAATTACGATTAATATTATGGAGACATCACTAATAGTGGGCATGTAGATTTCCTTGCAGCATATTCACAGTGTTGTCTGCTAGGATTGAACTGCCAAATTTCGATATTTTTATCAATTGAGGTATCTGCCTGGCTCGATTGTGAGGGAGCTCTGGCCAATCAGTGCTTTAATATGACAGTCTACAAACAATTCTTGACAAAAATGTACTGCTAAAATTTTGACCTACTCTAAACACAAACTGTGTTTGGTTGACCGACCTAGCAGTAGTATCTGTAAGGGTGTGGTTATCTTGTGCAGGGGGGGGGGGGGTTGATTCCAGCTGTGCATGTGTATATAACGTTATGTGATTCCTTCTTCCAGAAGCATTTATGGCCAAAATCACAAGCCGTGCCCGCTGCCTTCATATGTCACTGCTCGTAAAGTTAACCCCGTGCTAAGCAAGCATGATGCCGGAAGGAAGGGCGATGACGCGTCGGTAAGTCTCCAACATTCATGGCTGACATGCGAAAAGAATTTTCTATCTACCAAGTATGTTGTGCTATGTTTGGAATCAGCTTGTCACATTTTTATGATGCTCTGTAATGCTTATTACACAAAAAAGTTGACTTGTTTTTGGAGTGAAGCTGTATCAGCTGTGATAACTATATTTTTGCAACCCACTCCCCGCTGACAAACTGGTAAAGTAGTCTAGCTGCCATGATTCCTCATCTTTCTGTGTACAGTTGAATCAAATATCTGTTGATCTAAAAAACTGGTAAAGGGTTTTATTTATAGTAGACCATGTGGTTTTAAATAATGAAATCAAATATCGTTTTTAAACACTCCATCCTAATCACAATGGCTCTGTGTTTTTGTCTATTTATGAGTATTTAATTCTGAAAAAGCGATTCCATGTTATTTCCAAATAAGGTTTATAATATAAGTTCGTAACTTACACGTGTGGGTAAGGAAATGCGAGAAATTTTGCAATTCTGGACGGATAGCAGCTTTAAGCATATACAGCATAGACCTAATGCGCACTGTTTTCAGTCTGTTTGTATGCTTACAGACTTGTCGTCCGAAGCAACATGGTGATGGGTGCAAGGAGGAAGCCAGGCGAATATTCACATCTTCAGGACCAGTGCAGCGAACGCCAACTGTCAACACTGTGCATCAACGTGTTGCTGTCAAACCGTCGGATATCGCCGTGCCCGTAATCGTGTTTGAATCCACTGAGGACAGCTTCGCTACCGGAGAGCCTCTCCGAGGCGTGTCCTCGGGACGATTGCAAGCCGTCGTTGACGTCGACGAGACGTCGGACGGTCGCTCGGTGATGAAGCCGCCCGCCGCTGCACATGTCACGAATCCCGACGCCGATAGCACGCTAGCCAAGACAATGCTGCCACGCGATCCTGCTTCACCGTTGTCATCGGCTACGCTGCCTCCTGATCCTGCTTCACCGTTGTCATCGGCAATGCTGCCTCCTGATCCTGCTTTACTGTTGTCATCGGCAAAGCTGCCTCCTCCCGCGGGCTCGCCGTCGTCACCGGCAACTCCGTTGCTACCGGCAATGCTGCCTTCTCCTGCGGGCTCGCCGTCATTACTGGCAACACTGCCGTCGCCGCCACTCGGTGCCAGTGAGACGTTGTGCATGGCGGAGGACATGAATCTAACGGTGACCTTCGATCGCACCATCATCTACGACCCACTGAGCGACGAGCGAGTGGAGGCCCCGGTGGCACCACCTACAGGCCGTGATGTGAAAAAAAAGAGGCGCAGTAGGCGTAAGAAATCCAGGATTTCTTTGACTCCTGACATACATTCTCCATCGATGACCAGTCAGCCATTGGCAAGTGTAATTAAGCTTTGTTGTGCGTGCGTAAAAGGCATTGTAGGCACATACATGGCGACTCTTGGAAATTGATTGTATGACCTTAGCTTCCCACTGGGTGATTGCATGTATGCATTCTCCAAACTTATGGACAATTATTGTCTTCTGTTTGTCCAATTGTTCACTATGTTGTTTTGTGCCATCTTGCTTCAAATTAGCAAATATGTGCTTTATTCATGTGCCTATTAAACTCATTACGAAGTGTTAGCACTCACCAGATGACAAAACAGTATATTCAATCTATTAGGACATGTTGGAAGTATGCTTGGAATAAATCTCTCAATAAAAATCGTTCTAGCCTATTCTATTCATCAAGAAGTAAAGTAGAAGTAAAGCCTCTCGGTAAAGAGTGTCATGCTCTGTGCTACAACTCACTGCTGAACCTGCCTATGGTGCGGACCTACACACCTTAACAGGCTGTCGATTCCACCTTTACAGCCTTGCGACGACGAGGTCGCGGAGACGTCCCATCCGACCCGGCTCCGGAGACGTCGCACAGCAATTAACTACAAGGAGCCATCAACGATGATGTAAGCACCTCTCCCTGCGTGTGTCACGCCTCGTACTTAGAGAGGAGTTCGCTATACAGTTAAACCTCGATTATCGGAACGAGACGGGCGGGGAGTATTTCATCCTGTCATCGTTCAAGCAAGTAAAATTTCATGCTGTTTTTATCTGCAGAAAGATGAGGCAAGGCGATGCACACACAGACACATTTAGCTTGCAGCTTTATAATCCTGCCAGCAAAAGGTATGATGGAAAAGTACTCTTATATGAAACAGCATAGCTAATCTTTTCATTCGTGATTTTTTTGCTCTATGTGAACCCTTATAGAGCTCAGGGTCTGTTGTCAGAAACATTGTAAAGGTAATGTTACGACTAATATTGCAATATGCATTTGGCTGCAGATTGGAAGGTAATTGACAACAAAACTCAAAATTTATTTATTGTGTAAAACTGCAAGCCATGCGGATAAATATTGGTAATCGTGTATAATGCAGTAACTTACTATTATGAAAAAATGGCATGATCACAACAATACGTGGTCTTTTAAGATGCTAGCATCATGACTCATTGAAACATCAAAAACGAGGACAATCGCCACGTGTAAATGTGTTATTTTTATACACAATTAGGAGACAGGTGGTATTTCTTCCATGTTTATCATGAAAAATACAGGTTTTAGTAGTCAGTATCCAATATTATATCAATATATTTTTGTGTAATGTTATCCTTTTCATCATTATTTGAGAGTTAAATGGGAGTATAATGTATCGTAGACTCGGAAAATATCTACTGTGTTTCTCTGCTTTGCAGACGCAGCAAGAAGTCTATGGCCAGTCAACCAAAGTGAGAACTCGGCATCGTGTCATCGTCGTCACCGCCCTGTTCTTTGCTTTCTTCTGTTTTGAATCAACCTCGGCACCTACCTACACATCGCTGCCTGTGCGTATACGTGTGACCCAGTCCTACTAGCCAGATATGTATTCTCGTGATGTGACCATTTTACCTGCGTGTACAACATATTTTACACCGTTATTCACCGTTACACCTATACAGCACAAGTTAGATGGCTAACTAGAGCATTAGCATAGCACAATATACTCAAACCTGTGTTAGCGGAACTCCTGATAGAACATATTAGAGTTCAGTCTGAATAGTGCTTTTGGGCTAACTGGTGTTTGAGACATCAACTTTATATCTATGCAGCTAGTAAGTTTCCAAGAAGATGCACTACCATGTCGCGATATCTTGTGCAGTGGTCAACAACAAGTATCACAACATGACATAACGGCTGACACCTGCCTAGTATAAAGGACACTTGGTGTGTTTTCTTTGAACCCACCTCTATAATGGACACGTGTCTATAAAAGAAACACCAGGGGTTCTCGAACGCAAATATAGAGGAGACGTAGCTGTTTTTTATGGTGTATTATTTCAGTTGTTGTAGTTGTAGTTAGTGTGTGCGTGGGTGTGTGTTTGAGCGCGCGTGTATATATATAATAACCATATATATATTTATATATATACGCGTGCACGTGCACACACACACGCGTACACACGCACGCACACACACACACACACACATGCACACTAACTACAACAGAAATAATACACCATAAAAGACAGCTACGTCTCCTCTATATTTAATTGTTTATAATGTGCTATTATTCGTAGCTTAAGTGCAATTTTATTTGGTTCTATTCTAGTATGTGTTTCTTCTTAGTTTATGCAGCCAACTTCACTTCTGACCTGTCTGAAAGCTTTGGTAGCTTGCAAATACATGTATTCTATATAATTTATCACTATACACTGATATATGTAGTAACAGAGCACGTATGACGTATATCATATGATCAGAAGTAGATAATAGGAAATCCCTATTATCTACTTCTGATATGATATACGTGCTCTTTAGTAATATGGAGTAGCGAAATTGGGATTTATATTCTTTATTTTATTTTCCGAGTTGATCAAAGTACCCGTGTCAACTGTTCTTTGCTGGCACGTGTACTCGCGTACATACAAGTATATATACATGCACTGATTACTGTTTAGGCCTATATAATAATAATTGAATATATATGTAATCTAAAACTTAACGTAGTGAGACATCTGTGTATAATGTAATTTTGTGCGTCACATTTACAGGTTGCGCGTACATGTTTTTGTTAAAACTGCTTGTATTTGAAATAAGTGCATCATAATAAAATGTAAAAAATACTGTAAAACTTGAACTTGTTCCGAGAGATGGCGCATAAGCACACGCAAGATGGACGCACCCACCAATTCATTTCACTCAGTGCACATTTAGTGTAGTACTTGAGACTTAGTTGACGTTTGCAATTGAATTTATAGTATACCAAGTTGGAAGCTTTAAATATAATACATAGTGATACAGAACCTGCGCCGACATTCATCTGAGATGTCGTTACCATGCAGTTTACACGTTCCGTGGCGGTTAGTGGCACTGTCACGTTCTTCACGATTGCTCACCCCGTCTACACAAACACGGTTAAGAACTTGCTTGAACTATAGATACTGTGTCAATTCTGTTATTCCGTGCCAATCGACAATATTGCTACATGAAACTAGGTGTAGTCTAATTCTGATGCGAGAATTTGGCATGCAATATAGGGCCAGATCATCAATATTAATTGACCAGCCACAGAGTTGTGAACTCATGTACCAGCAGAAGTCACTGCATGTCAGTGCTGTCCAACAAGCTGGCCACTCTAAGTGGCAAAATATACGACATATAAAGGCCACAAAGGACCAGCAGAGGTCGAAAATAACAAGCAAGCTTGTAATGAAGATAAAGTCAGCAGTTCAGGGTAAAAAAGCACTCTTTTTTTTCACTCTGTAATAAACATACAGTATGAACCACGTTATCTCTTCGTTTGGATGTAAATAAATGTTTTTTTTATATAAAAATACTACTGTGTAGTTGTTTGTTTCTTTTTTTTTCAGTCTCAAAATAAGAAAGTACATGGTTAATTTGTCACTGTCTCAGAGAGATGTGTGCCTGTGAGTCTGTGACATCACATCACATCTGTCAGCATATAGTTTATCATTGACTATCATTCATAGTTTCAACAGACAATGTATGAATGCAATTGTCACCACATCATTGCAGATTAATACAAGGCAAGAGCTGAATTCAGCTGGTATTATTGTCAAGTTAAATTTAAATATGAATGAAAGTGTCAACAGTTTCTAGTTCTACACTCTGTTGTATAACTTTTATTATCAATTGTATTTTATTATGCGTCAGTGGGTTGATCTAGCCAGCACCAGCTGCAGCGGATACATAAGCTGGGTTTACACTGACGATTTTGAGTTGCCAAATTGTACGAACTTGGCAGTTTGGCAACTTACAATCACCAGTGTAAATGCAAAAGTTGCACGTCCAGCCGATCGATAGCAGCGAGTCAGAAGATTAGAACATGTTCTAATTTCCCTAACTCGGAGCAGGCGATTTGGACGTATTTTTGGCCAAGTGGCCAATCAGACAACTGCAATCAGGGGTGTGTCCCTCCACCCTAGGAGGAGAGCACGTTTTTGTGTTAGGCGCCACGCTGGCGGCATGTAATACATGCAAAAATGGGTATCCGCGTCGCCCCGCGCGCACGCTACGGGTCAAATGTTGAAACGTTTGCCGCCTCGCGGTCGATAACGTAAGAGCTTTGAATATATATATATAGAGAGGTTGGTAGAAAGAAGAAAAACAACTAACTTGACCGCATATAATCGTCAGTGTAAACCCAGCTGAAGGCGCTGCTGCATGCACGGTGTATATGTAGCGCTCGCTGTACATACTTACTGGTGTACATTTCAATTTATCAGGCCACGGGAGCAATTTTCTCTTGGGCGATCGCTCCCGTTATTGTTCTTACCAGAGCGATTTTAGAGCTTATCAGAGCGAAATTGCTCGTCGTTCCCGTGTATTTTTCCCCCTGCAGCAGTTAGAGGTAAACCTCTGTCTCTGGATATAGATGTTTTTCTAGCACTTGGCCCATGCTCTCAGCTAACTAACTGTATGGATATGATCAGATGTTGAAGTCTCAACCACTAGTTAGTCCTCTAGCATTAGACCATGTAAGCTGACCTCTGGCTGTCAACTGAGAGTGGCCAGTTGAGCGTCGTATCTTGCATCTTCCTTACTGGTTCTTTTATGTCCCCTTTACGGTCCTACCATGTTTACGATACCAGCCTACTGGTACCCATCCCCAATGGTGAGGACTAGATTTTCAAACGTGGAGAAAATTCATTGCCCTGATGGGGGTTTGAAGTTGCAGCATTTTGCGGGAAAGGTAGACACGCGGACAACTGGACCACTGTGGCCTTTCAAATTATAATTACCTCTGCTGTATATATATTTATTTATGTAGTTTTTCATCATGGCAACAAATCCAAGGATTTGTTCACAATTTACTGATGTAAAATCTATGACCTATTAAAATACGGATTAAGGAAAGCTGAATTATAAATCGGAAAATGTTCAATATTTCAATTCATACCCACGATATTTTGCCTCATTTATGTTTATGTTATATAAGGCCATGATAAAAATATTGTTTGTTTGCCCTCACCCGACTGACCTGCCAAAAAGAGGCAGACTCAAAATTTTTATTGATCTTTCCCATTCTTTTTAGCTCAGCTGACGAAGTCGAATGTAGAATCGCATGATTGTCCGTCCGTGCGTCCGTCAACAGTTGGGCACAAATCTTAACCGCTCGACGTACGGTCTTGATATTCGGGACGTCGAGGGGGGGGGATTGCGAAAAGGACTTGGGATGTCGAAATTGGGGGTCAAGGGTCAAAGGTTGAGATTGTCAATGGAGGGGGAATATTTCCCCCTTAACTTAAGGTATGGGAGGAAATACGGAATTGGGGGTAAAAATCTCAACGGCTCGACCTACACTCTTAATATAGTGTGATGGGGAGGAAATCCATCACCAGTGCGAAATTGGAGGTCACATGTCAAAGGGCAGTAGGGGAAAGGTCAGATATCAGACATTTTCTGAGGACATGGTCTAACGGACCGAGTGCAAAACCTACCATTTTTATCACTTTATTGAAAGGACCATGAAATCTACTTTCTGCTGACGTGCGAAGAGCAAGTGTCTGATAACGTTTTGACCCTCAAGAGGAGGGTTAAACATGGATTTGTTGATTGTTAACAAAGGACTGTACTGCTTTTGCTATTAGAGCCCCCTTCACCCGCCCCTCGATTTTATATATAACATATTATATGTACCAAGCAAAACAAACATTCACCATAAAAGGTATCTCCACACGATCACACCCGAGCATGTAGACACCATGCTGAAATTGTAAAAATACCCCTCTCAAAAAAAAACCTACCTACTTACCCAAACTTTTCAGCCTGGGTTTGGTGAGGGTAAACAAAGATTTTTTTAATTGCGGCCTAATGGTATATAATGTTATAGGCATGTTAATGAACATTATAAAATCACTGTAGATGTGTAATAATGCATATTTACTGCTGTCTATTAGTATAGTAATCATTGTATCATCTTCTCTTCACAATAGAGGGAGGGAGTTCAGATCCAGGCACAAATCTACAACTTGCTCATATTATCGAACAGTGCAAGAAAAACGACATCCCTAACTCAACGTGGTCTGATGCATTGAAGAAATCGGTAAGCGAAATCTTACTTTTGTAGCAGCTAATAAAGAAACTGGAAATTAAACTGTAGTTAAAACATTTCCACCAAATTTGTGGCAGCCTAACTCAGAATTTATGGCCTGCATATTTAGTTGTGTGTGAATAGTACAGTGATGAATAAAGATATGCATACCTAAACTAAACTTGTGTATTGGTTTTTGTGCTAAACAATGACTGGAGAAGCAAGCACATTGCAACCAGAACAAATGAAGTAAATGCTGATTTCTATAGTAATATGCTTCTATGGCACTATAGCACTATAGGAGTATTAAACACGTTTATCATGTGTTATGAGCATATACTATCAAATTTTCCCCATGTGTCACCTGATGTTGTTATTTTCTGTTTTATTGCTTATGAGAGCATAGCTGAATTAATCTGCTCATGTTTTTTCAGACACAGAAGGGTAACGCCACGACCGCTATAGTGCTGGCTGGACGCCATACAAGTGGCGCATTTTTTGTGCTCGAAGGTGAAGTGGAAAATTCGAAAGCGATGAGAGAAAAGTTCAAGGGCATTGCAAGGAAGCAAGGGTATGTGCACAACGGAATAAGCATTTGAATTTCTGCAGGGTGGAGGAACCATATCACATGGCAGGGAGGGTAATATTACCACTGAGGTGCGTGTCTTGCGCGAGTATAACGTGCTAATTGTATAATGTAATGCAGGTATTTATAAACAACCCATTTTAGTCAGCCACACTTTGCATTTGTAAGTGTTCAACTGCAGCGGTAGCAACGAAAGCAGCCTCACTTCCAGTTTGAGTCATTCGTAATAAATACACTTATTGTGCTTGATTACCATTGTAGTTGATCGTAAGGACAGTAATACGCGACTCCTTCCTGGTTACCGGCTCTAACTTTAGATGCTGCTCTACTCGTGAAACTTTATTTGTAATCTCTTTGCAACTCTCTTGTGTGTATGCAGTGTCATGGCTGTCGAGACAAGCCACATCAAGATGGCGTTTGAGCACAAGGGCGTTATACTAGTTGATTCCAGCTCCATGGCTCTGGATGACGCTGAAAACGTAGCGATTGAGGTGGGAGCCGAGGATGTCTCTGAAATACCAAATATGGAATCGGAAACCGAGGGCACCACTGTCTTTCAGGTACGAGTTTGTCTGTCTCTACCAAGTGGATTCGGTCAGGATGCATGCCTCGATACATACTTGATGGTTTCATTCTATATTGAATTTTTCTAGTTCTGTTCCAAATTCTTTTTTTTTCAGTTTGTCTGCACCTCTGTACCTTGTACCTGTGGCTTTGGACTAATTGTTTCTGTGTGCAGTTTGTCTGTGCCTCGCTACCAAGTGCAGTTTTCTACACAGTTTGTGCGTGTCTCTGTATCAAATGCCTTCTTTTTGTTTCTAGTTCGTCTGCGATGCTAACGACTTCTTTGGGGTGCGTAAAGAGATGGCCCAGCGCGCGCTGGCCATCCAATCAGCGCAGCTTCAGTATGTCCCGTTGAACAAGGTGCCAGTAAGCGATGATGATATGGCTCGGCTCGCCAAGTTTGTACATAAACTAGAGGAAATGGAGGAGTACATGAGCATCACGGACAACATTGAGTGACGTGCCATGGCTTCCTCAGCACATGGTTGAGCCTTCTCCAGCAACACGTCACCGACTGTTACTGGCACGTTTACTCTTGTTCTTGGCGTGTGTTCAGTTACGTATACTAGATTCTTCGTAAAGAAGCACATTTGGTATGGGAAAAAATTATCTCTGTTTTTATCTATCAGTTGTTGACCTATTTATGTAGATTAGCAACTTAGATTCTATCTCTCTAAGAGATGATGATGAAAATTGATTTTTTATTATTTTCTGTAACTTTGCTAAAGTGAACTGCTGCTATTGAGTGGTAGTTTATGACCTAGCTGTTAAAAATTATACCTGAGCTAAGTTTCAGATATTCATTGTGATGATTTCAAGTACAAGAAACATGCAAATTATAATAAATTATGATCTCATTGACTGATAATAGTTATTAGTAGTGATGCCTCTATGGTATACTCCACGACAATTTAATAAAAATGGGATTTCATCTTACTATAAATTGGGGAATTTCTGTCTGTGTGTGTCCGGCTATATGTTTCCGCACCGCTCAACGGATCCTCTCCAAACTTGGTCGGAACATTCTACAGATCATGACACGTTGCATGAGCTATTTTTTTCTTCTTCAGTTTCATTTTTTTCACATTCCACGTTCAAAAACATTAAAAAAGTGGGAAGTTTTTGCACCGAGCGCGGAGCAACGTCACAACACGAAAACACAATGGCAATGTAAAAAACAATGTATAACCAAAGGCGCTCCATCTAAGATTTTCTAAGTCGCTCCATCTAATCTAACCAGAGAAATGTTATACATTGTTTTTACATTGTTTCTTAAATGGAGCGCATTTCGTTATAACATAAGACACAACTAAACGTTCCATCATGAACAATGTGATCTACACAGAAGTTCTGACCACCTAACGGGCATGGACTAGTCCTTATAAAGGATGATATTTTGTGTTGATACTTGTGATTTACATAATTAGTTACTGTATTATTCCAAATGATTCATCATCGTCGTCACTAATGCTATATAGGAACAAGAGCACATGAAGTGCCTTCGTAAATTATGTGCTCATGATATAATAATAAGAGAAATCCAGTTGCACATGCTCGTATACATGCATGTGATTTAGTATTTCATGTAGAACTGCCGATAGATGGCGCTGTGGGGAAATTTTTCGGCTGATCGTCAATGCATATCCTAGGAATTCACAGCCGAGCCTGCTCGCGGATTACGGCGCTCCGAAATAAGCCGGTGAATTTACAATGTTCATCTCGTAGTCAGTAGATTTCATTTCAAATATCAGTTTTCGTCTTAACAGGTGTCATATGTCTACACTTTCATCAAGTCACTTTCATCAAGTCACTTTCATCAAGTCACTTTCATCAGAGTCCGACACGCTTACAGGTCTCACGTGCCTACAATTTCGTCTCAGCTATAGTGTCTCACACCTCTACACACCGCCTCTGTTTTTGCCTTTTTGGGGTCTTAACTCCATAAATCTGTTCTCACTACTTCGGTAATCATCGAGTGATGGAGAGAGCGAGAGAAAGCAAGTGAGCGAGGAAAGGAGGGGAGAGATCGGGCGCGAGATAGATAGATAGAGAGAGAGAGAGAGAGAGAGAGAGAGAGGAGGGAGAGAGAGAGAGAGAGAGAGAGAGAGAGAGAGAGAGAGAGAGAGAGAGAGAGAGAGAGAGAGAGAGAGAGAGAGACACAGACGGGTGTGATTTGCAGCCGCGGTCGTCCCAGAAGCTCAGTTGCGTCGATTATGCCGGATATCCTGAATGCACCCAGGAAGATAATCGTGATACAATCGACATTACCACGGCCGAGTGCAATACTGTAGGGTTGCAAGATAGGATAATACATCAGAATGTAACGCCTCCATATCTTTTTTCATCATAACCACCTACTCTTTTTTAATTATATATTCTCTAGCTCGACTACGCGTTCTCGTTCCATCTGGACTTTCTGTAATCCATTTTATCTATCGCAGACTAACTACCGTTTTTGCTCTCTTCGATATATTAACGTATTTACTTACTCTATTCTAAGATTACCTCATATATTCCACTTGTATCTCGACGCACTGTTTCTGTTCTATTCTAACTATTAGTTTATATTTACTATTACATCATGCAAGCGTAAGCAAGCTTCGTCCATGCGCTACGAGGTGTTTGTTGCCGATCGATGAATTGAAGGTGAGCAGGGACGTTGGTTCCATCACTGACGCGATGCGTGCTGCCGCCCGTCGCGCCGGCTGCAGCAGCGTCCGCATGTGGCTGCCTGCTGTGTGACATCGGCTGACGCGCGTGTTTAGCGCGCGACTCAACGGCTGACAGACCGCGAGGCGTTATTTTGGTTGGTATTACGCCAGCCCGAAATCCTGTATCTCACTGCACATGTCTCCCTTTCACGCCTCCTTCCCACTCATAACGTACGCAGCTACCGCTTATATATATATATATATATATATATATATACGTACTCATACACATGCACACACACACACACGCACGCACGCACGCACGCACGCACGCACGCACGCGCGCACACACGTCTCCAAATTTCTATTCCACTCCCTGCTTGTCCTCTCCTGATGTGCCTCTCCCTCCATGTCCTCTCCTGATGTGCCTCTCCCTGCATGTCCTCTCCTGATGTGCCTCTTCCTCCATGTCCCCATACACGACCTCCGCACACGCCCTCCCCACGCACCTATCTTCCTCCTAGATACATCGTCGCACCTCCACCCCCTCACACGCCCTTCCTCACGCACCGCTCCTCTCCTACTTACACCCACGCCCCTCTTTTCCTACTTACTCCCCCCACCCGAACACGTCCTCTTCTCACGAACGTCCGTCTCCTACGCTGCTCCCACCGCTTCCTTGGATTTGTCGATTTGCGGCGGCCTTTATCAACAATTATTAGAATGTTCCTTAAGTGCAGCTTTGGGACAGCGCTTATGGCAATAATGAAAAGATTGCTTATTGATTTGTCTCGCATTCGGTAGAGAAAAGCTCAAACGGTTTGCTATATGTACGTAATTATTTCTCCGGAATATGAAAACCATGTCACGCCATAGTTTATGTTGGGTGCTGACTGGCAGACCGGTGGTCGTAGCCAGCAAGGACAATAAAGATTCCGCCTGCCCATATATCGTCACCACTCCCCAGTATATAAGCTTATGTACGAGTTTTATTTGCACGAGTTTTATGTTGATCGCTTATATGTGGCCAACACGATGAGTCCCGTAGAAGGCCGTGGACTCAGAGCGAGCTTACCGCGGGGTCTGCATAGATACATGACTACATAGCTATGCCATACATATCTTGTCATCATTCCCCGCTCGTCTGCTTGTCGGATGGAATTCGGGTGTATTTTACCTACGTACGGTGCCGTGGGCCATCTCGCTAGGGTGGAATAGTCGGCATCAATTGCTCTACCCCTGTCAGCGATGCCTACTGCAATCATAATCATTCGCACCTCACCGTGAGTATGAATCGCATGCACGTAGCGGCGTTACCGCTACTGGTAGAGTTTGCCACAGTCTGTCGGTCGCGCATGCATAAAATATTCGAGGTTAGAGTTCGGCTCAAGAGGTAGTGTTAAGGTTAGAGTTATCGGGGATATAGGAATATGGCTAAGCCTAAGGTTAGGTTCAGGATAAGGGTCAGTGTTAGGGTTAGAGTCATGGTTAGGTGTTGCGTTAGGTTTCAGAGTTAGGGTTAGTGTTAGGATTAGGGTTAGGGTTAGAATCAAGGTTAAGGTTAGTGTTAGGGTTAATGTACGGGTTGTGTGACGGTCTGGGTTATATTTATTTGTCATAGTGGTATGTCCGGGGTAACCGTCTGACGTAATCTATTAGGCAGCCTTCATCCTACGATTGCAGCTTTGGATCGAACGAACGGGCTGCGGTAGCACCGCCGTGACCTCGCGAAACCGCAGTTTGCTCTGTCAAGTGTGGGCCAAGGTCGGAAGGATTTTTCTCTCCCCCCACCCCCATCTCGTTCAGAGCGGCATACACGTTTTGTTATGTTGCCGTTTTCCTTGCTCGTACGTGTTAGCGTGAACGGAGCTGGACATTTGTGTTCGGCGTTTTTCGCATTCCGTACACAGCGGACGAGGGACAGGCACGCCCGGGATCTGTGTGTGTACTACCGCCGCGTAGCATACGTTACTCAGTGCGTGTATCGCGCTGTTACCGCGGCGGCGTCCTGCTGCTACGCTAGAGGCGTTATAGCAGGAGCTCTAGTACTATAGCCCGCGTACAGTTGCCGCTGGCGGCGGCAGCCAATGGCCGTAGCCAGCCGAGATGGACAGACAGATATAGAGAAAGGCCGAGGCGCACACACACATACACACGCACACACATACACACACACACACACACACACACACACACACACACACACACACACACAAATACACATACACAGAGAGAGGGGAGAATAATAACGAGTAGTGAGAGAGGTGAGCGAGTAGACGAAGACGACGCGCAACAGTCCGATAGTCGTTGTTCACCGTGGCTGTTCTCTCTTAAGATTCTCTGAAGTTGCAACCACCTCTCGCGTTACGTTTGTCCAGTGCGGCGGCAGGAACATCAATCAACAGGCGCCGCCTCGCAAGACTCCGCTGTCGTCGACTAA